ATGTGCTTTCATAAAGTTCATAATCTAAAGCTAAAACATTGCACTTTGATTTAAATCTTGATATATTGATTGCACTCTGTTGGCACTTCTTTGCAGCGGACACTTTATTGGTTTATTCATTTTTTTTTGTTGATCACATTGTATAGTGGTTGATGAACTTATTGTGATCTGTTTAGCACCTTTAACTTTGCTGTTGGTGCTGTTTTACTACTTATCAATACCTGGGTGAGTATCTCATCATAGAGATGGCAGCTGCACCATTTTTTTAAATTGGAAATGTGGCACAGTTCATTAATTTCTAGTTTATTCAAAATTTGGTCTGTACATAAGGCAGCAGTTCAGTTGTGTGGTGTTGGTTTTTTTTTTTTTTTTTTTTTTTTTTTTTTTTTTTAAGATTCTATTCAAAACATATCTATCTGAGAATCTAGTTGCCTGACTACCATGCTGACCACCTTGCTTTAGTAGGTTGAAAAACAGATCTGGACCAAGTATTCAGACTGACTTTTTGAGCCAAGTACTTGTTCAGTGTGTGTGACTCAAAAGCCTTAAAAGTATTAAAGTATATGTGAATCCTGGAGTTTTTTTTTTTTTTTTTTAAAGATTTTTTTTCAATTCAAAATCAATATAAGAAAGCTGTATGGGAGCATTTACCATATCCTAACACTTGTTGACTTGGATCTTCTGAATCATAGATGGTGTGGTGGTTGTGTTGTGTGGTGTTTTTTTTTTTTTTTTTAAGTTTTATTGTATCCTTCAGCAAAGCATACAAGTTAGTCACCACAAGAGGGGGGTTCCCATCCAGAAACTGTAGCTGCTGACTTTTAATAAACAGGCACTCGCCTGTCCCACAATCCAGCGCTGTCGTCACCCAGGCCTGTTTCTTCACCGGTGTTTGGTCCATGGCATATTAACTGCAGGCAGCCGGCTGTTTGTGGCTGCACAGCCGGCCGTGGTGCACCTTGAATTGTCCTGTGATGGCCTAGACAACCCAAGCAAGCAAAAGTGTGAATGGGTACCTATCAAAACCAGGTACCCACCTTACCCCCCCCGGCCCACCCCACAAAAAAAAGTTCCAAATGTGAAAGAGGAGGAGAGGTTGAGTGGAACTTCCCCTTTTTGGGTGAAGATCTGCTTTAAGGGAATAGAACAAGGGAATGTAGACGAGTAAATAAAAAGATGAATGGAAATGGAGTTAGATGTCAGGAGAAGATAAGGGGGGAATGGTACTCGGTACATAGGTGGGGGATCCAGTCTGTCCTCTTTAGAGGTCTGCACTAACAGTTGTGGGAGAAGTGTTCAGTGTTTGAATTGTGAAATCCAAGAACCCAATCCAAATAGTTAACTAAGCCCTGGTTCACACCAATGAGTTTTTGGGGTTTTTTAGTGCTTTTTACAGAAATACACTTCAGTCCATCTAACGTGGTTTTCTATGGATACGTCCTATGCTTTTTTTTGAAAGACTGCATTTTTGGAAAGGGTCAGGGACTTCAAATGCAAAACATTGTGTTTTTGGTTTAATCGACCTCAATAGTGACGCTGTGGGGGGGGAGGTGTCAGGACAAGTGTGGTCAATAGAGGAGATCAGGCTGAGCTCACAGCCAGCAAATTGACCGTGCTGTACTTTCGTGCCTAGTGTGGTCAGTTTTTTTTTTTATTAGGAAACACGATGGACTGGCAGGGTCTCCTGGGATTTCATACAAAGGAAGCAATGCAAAGAACAGCTTACTTTTTCATACAAGTACAGCAGGCATGTACCAGGGTGTACATATTCTTTATTACTGCAGAGTTCTTTCACCTTTTGGGTAGTGTCAAATTCTGCATATGCGTAGTTCAGAATATAGCACCTCTACTTCTTAGCATCTTTTTCAAGCTCATGCCTTCTCTTTACTTTGTATGCACCTACACATCTCCGCTTCTGTTATGTTTTAGTAGGAGTCTTCCCAGCAGGTGGTTGTTTTCATTAGTTGTGCATAGTTACAATGGTGGTCAATGGCTTGTGATAGTCTTTTAGATTGCCCTCTGTACTGACTTCACTTTGTTGTGTTTTTTTGTTTTTTTTTTTTTTCTTTTCAGGTAAATCTTCATTAATAATTCAATTTGTTGATGGGCAATTTGTGGATTCCTATGACCCTACTATAGAAAACAGTAAGTAATTTTATAATGTTAAACAAAACAAAAAAAATCCATATTCTTATAATGCAGCATTGGTGTGATGCTGCAGACCAAGAACTGGGTGAACACATCACATGACCACTGATGGCTCAGTTCTCGGTCTGCTCTGAATGGACAGCAGTGACTGTCAGTAATTGCTCTCAGCTCTGACCCTCCAGCACTCATCGGAATACCAGGGAGGGAATAGGTGCAGCTGGCTCGGTTGGGCAGCCAGATGGATCCCAACAATATTGTTGGGCTGCTTCCTGAGCCTGGAGCAGCTCTGCCCTGTCAACTAATAGTGAGCAATAGCCTACAATCAGCTGTCGCTGGGTCATAGGAGAAGAAAAGTGGACTCCTGTGGCTCGCAAGCTTTGTAAATATGCCTTCAATGTAAACTAGGTTAGGGGCTCAGACAATGATTACTGAAAGAGCGCTGGGTCTTGTTTGCTCTTGAAGAGGAATAAACTACTGATCTTTTGAACTGCATGAATTGTTCCTTGATTCCCAGCTACCCAAAATAAAATGTTTAGTACTTTCTATGTCTGTGCCTACCAGATCTGCTCTAATCCAAGCTTCTCTAGCTACATCCTAGCACTTTGTTACAAAGATGGCTCTTGTTGGCTTCCTCGGTCACTGTTTTATACCTTCAGGTGACATTATTATTATTTTGGTCTCACATAATGTTTTTCATGCATTTTCTCATACATTGAAAAGCTGTGCCAGATTCAAGTCATGAGACCTGTTTACTAATCCAGAGGGGCACTAAACGCACAATCAAATCAAATAATTAAAGCAAAGTATAACTAAAGGCAATTTGTTTCAGTTTTGGATAGCATGAAGATGGATTAGAACCCCAGTCAGTTTTTATTGTAGTCTGTGCTCCCGATAAGGAGATTCACCCACTCTATTTGTCCAGTTTACCATCATTCATAGTGAAAGTAAAAGAAAATCCCACATTTTGGGTTGTCCCCAGAAAAATAAGAGGGGAAACCTTCCAATGAGGACATTAGTTTGGGTGACCTGGGGGTACTTGAAGAATTCCCTTAATTTGAGGGGATTTCCTCTCACTTCCTGTTTTTGCTATGGGACAGGAAGTGAAGGGAAATCTCTGCAAAGGGGCACAGATGGTAATAAAATCTGACTGGATTATAACCCTCCCTTGCTCTATCCAAAAATGTTTTGCTTAGTTTTCACCTGCATTTGATCAGGGCTTTGCATGTTTATTGGGTGTAGCATGTTTGTAGGTATCCATTTCAGTGGCTTTCATAGTTATGGAAATCAAATGGCAAATGCTGTAGTGCACATGAATGTGACAAGCTACTTTCAGCTATTTGGGCTTAACATGTGACATTAGTCCATCCTGTAGGTAAACCATTATGGGTAATGGCATGCAAAAGCATTGAAGTTGGGCTTAAATCTGAGTATCACCTGCCAAGCACTCAATGGTGGTTTTTCATCAGCTATTGCCATGCTGTACATCTACATTCTCACTTTGTCGTGTTCTGGAATGTTTAAGGTGCTGGGGCAGCCATCTGGGCTCTTTGCTGCCTCTTGCTAACACAGCCTGATGGGGAGAGAATGTTGCTAACAAGCTTCTTGCAGCCACCAATGAAATTCTGAGCTGCTTTAAAACGGAGTGAGACTGGACCTGCAGGGAGACTGGTATATAGAGTACAGCAGGATATACAAGCCCTCCACCCTTGTCAGTCCATGATTAAATCTGCGTATATAGAATGAGACTGCTGCACTAGAAATAACCTTGGCCAGCAACATGTGTAGGATGGATGGATATATATATAGTATATATATATATATATATATATATATATATATATATATATATATATATATATATAAAATATATTCAGCCAACTAGTGCAGTGCTACAACCATATAATGGCAAACTAAACATAACCAAAGTAGAATTCAAGTCCAAAGTTCCATATAAGTGACTCCCACCAGGCGAGTGAGATAGTAATAAATGAGAGAGGGCCTCTTCTTAAATTCAGTGTTATGTGCTTCCTAAACGTCACCTGTGCTTCACCAACCACTCTGAGGCTTACCAGAGAGACTGACTCTCATGAAAAGTCACACCGCTTGTATGTCAGTCCAAAAAAGCAATCGCCATCCAGCTTGGCATCCTAAAGGATAATCTCCCATTTATATGAGCAGGATCAATACATGGTATATAAAAAGGCAAGACATAAAAAAACGCTCCAATAGTGTAAAAAAATGGTTTAAACACACACAAGTGCTGTACATAAAGGCATAGGAAACTACACATGCCAGAATTCCTTGAGGTGCACACGATGACTTTCCGGCCTCTGGCTCCACCCAATGCGTTCGTCGTAAATGGCGTCATCTGGGGCACCAAGTGATTAAATCTGTCAGCAATGAATTACAGATAACTCAGCTAAGGTAAATTCAGTTTTTTATTGTGGTATAGTTGTCGTGTTCACTTTATAGTAGTAGCTCAACTTACTGATTTCACCCATTGCCTGGATTATCTCTTTGAAATGGAATAGAAGGCAATGTAGTTGCTGCTCATATGTACTTCTCCCTACTTTTTACCCCCTTTTTTTTAAAAAATATTTCTTTTAAAACTTTCGTTCTATACTCTGCAGCCTGAAAGGTTGTTGTATATCCTTCCATAATGTCTGAGAATCAATCTGTAAGTTGTAACCACAGCAGTCAGTGTGCATAGTCTAGTATTGATTATTTCTAGTTATTTTTGACTATCCTATAATACTGACATTTTATGGAGGTAGTAATACAGCATAGCTGTTTGATTATACAGCCACTATATTACAAATTCATGCTGTTTGAAGGAACGTATCTTTGTTTTCATGGCTGAGCGGAAAGCTAGTCATAACTATTATTTTTTTTTTTTTTTTTTTATTTTTTTTCTTTCAGCATTTACTAAACTGATATCTATAAATGGACAAGAATATCACCTTCAGCTAGTCGATACTGCTGGACAAGTGAGTACTACGTGTTCTATATTTCAAGGTCACATTTAATTGGTCTGCAATTTCTTTGCCAGTTTCTGAACATGTAGTCCGAACACTTTGGCTGTAGCTACTTTATTTGCTGTAGACTGTTAGCTTTGTAGACGGGTCTTCTAAAGTGTAAACCTTAATCTCTCCCTCCCCCAATACTAACTGGTTTGGACATTTTTAACAATGTAATGCTACGTTTCTGTGTAATTTTACAGCACCTTGATATGGATGAAGCTGTACTGTTACGTTGGCCAGTCTTTCGAAAATAAGGGTTATTTAAGCTGAGCTAATTTTGGAATATAAAATTTGAACTGAAGTGGCATTTTCTTTTATTAATGGGCTGTTAAGTTTTACTGACAAAATCCAAATGACGTTCAAGAGTAAAAGCATAAAAAGCTGAACTCCAAGAAACCTAAAAATGCTCCTTGTGGTGAGGTTGCACCTTGCACTGCAAGGGTAAACTATTCCTTTATCTAATCGTTTGTACACCACTTTTATTTGCCCGATTCTCCCTCTGGTTGACTGCTCCCCACAGCTTCTTCTCATTTATGTTTTAGTGGTCTAAGGTCCTCTGACATATAAAGTCTGATGCAGGGACCATAGCCCTGCATTGGATGTTGACTGCTGGAGAATGGGGAGTATACAGCCCCACTGCAAGGCATAATTTTAGGTTTCTTGGAGTTGGGTTTTAACTGCGGGTTCTATTCCAACTGTGTTTGGCCTTTTTTTAAACTGGTCGTCTTGAATCCCGTACATCATCCATTCTCAACCAGGGTTCTTTGGAACTCTAGGGGTTCCTTGAGCTATGGTTGATTCGCATCACATTTTGATGATGCCTGCAGAGTTCTGAGGCCATTGTCCCTTAGGAGCAAATAGCAAGACACCGTGACCTTTTTATCTGTCTGAGCTTAACCCCCACCCAAACTCCTGAGCTAGGCCCATAATCTGGTGTAAATGACACATGAATGTGGTCAATGCTAAACTCCTCATGCTGGGTCTTTAGTTTGAATACTTTTGTTTACTTTAGAGCAAGAAGGCAAAAAAGAATCCAGTCCTATAAGTCTCCTAAAGTATTAAAGGTCAGCATTATGGCAATGGTAGCCCTGTTTCCCTCAGGGCTAGTTCACACCACAAAAATGCACTCCGGATTAATTCTGGATACATTTTTGCTTATAGTTCACACCACACTCTGTTCCGATGCAGTTTTGTTGAAGTTTGCCACGTTCCAGTTCTGTGCAGAAAAAATGCAGCATGTTCTACTTTTTTTTTTTTTTTTTGCACCAGGAAATGACAGCACTGGTGTGAACTAGGGCGCTGTGCATGCATTTTTGATGCAGAAAAACTGGACTGCATCAGGTGTGAACTAGCCCTCGTGGCAGATTTAGTTTCTGTCAAATGACCAACTCATTGGCTGTAGACGTTCTGACATTTTGAGGGTTGGCTGAGAACAGATAACTGGTTTCATTTGGAGACCGTGTTATAAATCTGACTTTTTTTTTTTTTTTTTTTTTTTTTAATCTGAAGCTACATTTAAAAAACGCTAAGATCAAAAACACAGGACAGGTGACCCATCTACCCATCAATTGATGCTTTACATTGGTCATATTCTCAAAAAACAAAAAAAAAACCACTGAGCAGGATTGGACAGCACTGCAGGAAGGTGTTTGGCATTCCTGGCAGTAGTATAGAGCTTACAATGGCCGTCCTCTAGATTGTGTTTGGAGTTTTACTTTAGATTGCTGTATTCATATACAAGTACAAAATACACAGAACTGCAAACTAAACCCAACTAGTCTTTAAATGTCCCTTCCCCCTCCTAACACCTATGCCGAGGAACCTGTGTATAAAAGATGTATACTTGGCTATTTTAAGCCTGCTCTGGTCCAGTCACAATCCCCTGTGGCAGCAAGTGTCGGCTGCAGGGGAGAAGAGCTTGACAATGGCTGAGAATACCAAAGCGGTGACCTCACCCAGTGGCTTCCATGTTACGGTTGTGGGGTGTGGCTTTTTGTTTTAACCACAAGTTAGACAACATAGGTGTTTGGGGAGGGGTGTATTCTTAAAACTAGTTGGGTTGAGGCTGAAGTTTTTCTTTCCCATAGAGCTTGCATGGGATACAGTACTCTCGCTGTACATATGAAACTGCCTCAGGTGCTAGTTGTCTACTGCAGATACCTCCAAGCAATCAAATACTCTATATCCTGTTCACAGTATTTTATTTTTTTTTTATAACTGTGCTTACTATTAAATTAGTTCCTGTGGAAACAGGATAATGTTGTCTTGTCTGTGTGGGGATTTCAACTTATTTATTTTCTTTTTATAGGATGAATTTTCAATATTCCCTCAGACTTACTCCATAGATATTAATGGATATATACTTGTATATTCAGTCACCTCCATTAAAAGGTGAGTTTGTTTCCCAGTATAATGGAAGTTGTATGAATTGACTGTTGATGAATATTTCATTCTTGATCAGTTTTGGTAACCATTTCATTTCTTGTTTTCCACAAACCTAAAATACTGAGAAATGTGGTTTAATACTGTAAAAGTGATTTTAAAATGGGAACATGAATGCCATAATTTTTTTTTTTTTTTTTTTTTTCCTTCACGTGCATTTGTCTATTTACATGCAAAGGAATTGTGGAAAACTATATAGCACACCCAGGATACTCATAATGGATATTTGTATGATTAAAATAATTGTACTGTTGACATAAACAACTCCACAAAATCAGTGTTGCGGTGGTGGATGAAAGAGGGTCCTGTAAAAGTTGGGTTTTTACTATATCTGTCCCAAGTTTGTTTTATAACTTTTTTGTAGAGGCAAATGGCGGCTGCTCCACTCCACCCATCCTATCCATGCGTTTAAGTTTTAAATTTAAGTTTTTGTAATTCATTTTTTTTTTTTTTTTTTTTTTTTTTGTGGAACCAATGAATAACTGCAACATCACATCCCTCAAAATACTAATTTTAACCAATTTCAGTAGAAATACCAGGAGCTCATAAGATTCTGCAATTAAGCTGACCACAAAACATGTTGGATAATCCGTTTTCAGTAAATGTAAAAGATTGCACTTGTATATACAGTATATGAACATGGCTGAGCTATATTATTATGATGTACTGTATATGGAAAAAGAAACCGCCTCTATACTAGCTCCTATTACATAAAGAATGATATCCAAAATACAATTTGTAGTCTTCTAAGCATCTGTGGATCACATTGCTACCAGTAAGGGGATGGGTTGTTGCTTGACGCATTTCACACACAGATCTTTTGAATTGGTTTACATTTACTGAATAAAAACTGATTTTATTATCCAATATGTTTATCTGTTGAGCTTAATGGCAGTATCAGAAGTCCCCTGTGGTTTTATTGGGATTTGGTTAGAATTCTTATCTTTTTTCCAAACTAACAGAAGTGGAGTCTTGACTCAGTGTTGTAGTAATAAGACAAATGGCAGGGAAATGCAGGGGGACGTCAAGTGTGGTGCAAATAGGTTTTAAAAGGATTGTTCTATGATTTCTCTGCCTCCTTTCACTTTTTAACCCCCTGGCTTAAAGTGGTTGTAATCCTCAGACATGAAATCTGGAAAAAGCACATAATTCCATAATGTTTGCATGCCTCTATCCAATGCACTGTGTCATTTCTCTCTGCTGTCTAGCTCCTGTTATCAGCAAGGGTCATTTTGGACATGTTTTCCTGACACCAAGAGAAAAATGGGGGTGGGATCTCTAACTAACAGCCTCAACTCTTTTTCTGTGTACTGTGTGAATGAGTGTCCATTCCATCCAATCAGCTCTCGGAGCTCTACAGTAGTATAATGTGGCCACCCCGGCTTTGTGAGTCTGTGAAAAATAATTTTCATCTCTGAATTTTTCAAGAATGTACAGGGCAATTGGCTGCAGAAAACAAGCCAGTCACTTCACTGGGTTATAAGCAGGGGTTTACAACCACTTTAACCACTAGCCTACAGGGCACTTATATCCCCTTCCTGCCCAGGCCAATTTTCAGCTTTTCAGTGCCGTCACACTTTGAATGACAATTGTGTGGTCATGCAACACTGTGCCCATCAGGGGCGGACTGACCATTTGGAAACTCAGGCAATGCCTGAGGGCCCGGGGTCAGTAGGGGGCCCCATGAGATGCCCCTGGTACCTTTTTTCATAGGCTTTTTTGAGTTTGGGCAAGGACACAGGGGCCCCATGATCTCCTATTGCCCGGGGGCACATGAGTTGTCAGTCCGCCCCTGGTACCCACTGATGATCAGTGTACATGTCCCCTCAGAGGAATGCCAATTACCGGCTCTCCTTTTGAGCTGTCAGTGTGACAGCTTGTGAGGAGAGAAATGCCGATAACCGGGCATTTCCCTATTTACATGCGATCAGCTGTGATTGGACACAGCTGATCACATGACCTAGCCGAAGTCTTTGGCTCTTTCCATTGATCGGTGATCCGCTGTGTCTGAGGGACACAGCGCACCGCCGATCGCCACGCTGCGTGCTCCCAGAGCCATGCATGCACGGTTAGAATGGGAGGACGTCATATGACGTCCTCCCAGAACGAGAGAACCGCCTTGCACCGGTCATTGCCTTATATGGCGGGCGGAAGGTGGTTAAATATGTTGAACCAATTTAGATAATCCATACTTGTCCTTGGTCAGTGACTTATTGAAGCCAGGGGATTTATATAACAGCCAGGCAACTAGCATTCACAGAATGTGTTAGCTACAGGACTGGCTGGCAAATTTCCATGTAGGGTACAGCTCAGGGGGGAGGGGACGGTTGGGTTTGTTTTTTGCCAAGATTAACTTTTTGCATTCTAATGGTCTGCTTTATTTTTATAGTTTTGAAGTGATAAAAGTAATCCATGAAAAGTTGTTGGACATGGTTGGGAAAGTCCAGTAAGTTCAATTTCTGGTTTTCTTCTGTATTTGGTGAACCTCACTAGATTACTGATTGACGTGTCTTTTACAGGGTACCCATAATGTTGGTTGGAAATAAGAAAGATTTGCACATGGAAAGGTATGTTGCAGCTTTTGTCTGCAGATGACTGAGATCCTTGTGTGATTCTTAGGATACCTTCTGTCCACTACCACAGCTTTCTCTTTTCAGCTTTAACTTAACCAGTTGTAGAGTTATTGTATCAATCCAGGCATATAGAGGTAACATACTAGTGCAACAGTCACATTTATAAATGTAGTGCTAGCCACTGAATCCATGCAATTTCTTGTAGTCAAATTTGAGTGGGTTCATATAAAAGTTTAAGAATCCCCTTTTACATGAACTCTTACAGAGTATTAACTTCAGTCGTACAGACTCCTTTCTGTACTGAAATTGCCCTTTCCTCCCCTTACCTGCCCTTTTTCATTAACTGAATTTGAGTTTAGCTCTGCATCACATGTGGGGTTTAACTTGGACATTTTGCACACCTATTCAGACTTTTGTAGGAGCATTCACTCTTATCCCTTACAATCACCCATCAAGAAATGCAAAATGGCCTTCTGAACATTTTTATAATTCCATAATACATGTGCTACCCTTATTTACACTGAAAAGGAGCAAAATTCACTTTGAGCCTTGCCTGATTGATCCCACAGCTAGAGATACAAGATGGATGGATGTGTAGACCATGGAGAATGAAACGGTGGTAGTTTTTTTTTTCAATTTTTAATGTCACATATTAGTGACACATTAACATGACCTCTAAAGTTTTCCGTGACTTGTGTTGCAGGGTGATCAGTTATGAAGAAGGAAAAGCCCTAGCAGAATCATGGAATGCTGTTTTCTTGGAATCTTCTGCTAAAGAGAATCAGGTTAGTTTCAGTATATGATTGGATATGTGATATATGTGGTACTCTACCCCCCAAAAAAAAATGTCCTGCTCTGTGCAGTAATTTGTACATCGCCCTCAGAGCAAGCTGCTTGCTTCCGAGCCAGCTCTGTGTGTCTATAAAGACACAGCATGGCTTGGCCCTGCTTTCTCCTCACTGGCTGTGATTGCAAGCAATAGAAACAATGCTGTGTCTGAGCTAATGCGGAGAGAGCCTTTGCTCTCATATACATCGTTGGATCGAGATTGGGCAGTAAGTACTAGGGGGGCTGAAGAGGGTGCTGCATGCAAAAGCAAAAGATATATATATATATATATATATATATATATATATATATATATATATATATATATATATATTTTTTTTTTTTTTTTTTTTTTTGCATAGAATGCATGAAGGTAAAAAAAACACCTGCTTTTACAACCACTTTAACCTGTTCCCGCTGGCTGTACACATATATTCGGCTTCTTAGTGGGTGAGCTTTAATGCTAAGAGGGCACATGTGTGTCCCAAATGTAAACACACTCTCAGCATAGTTACCAGCGGGTACTGGAAATCTTCCAATGCCTTCTTGCAATGGAAGCTTTCCAATCATGTGACTGCCAATCATGATTGGAATGCCCACCTCCGCCTCCCGGCATTTAGGACCTCGTAAAGAGCCAGGAAATGGTGGCGGGAAGGGGTAAAACCATTGGCTATTTGATACTCATAAGTAATTCCTGAATCTGGTTCACATGGATTTCCTACTCAAGCCAGACTGAAAGGGGTTACATCTTTTAGGCAATGTGGGTACAATTTATAGCTTGGTAATCCCTTGGCACACTCCAGAAGTGATGCTAGATGCCCTGTCAACTATTAACTTATGTTTGTTCTAATCCTCACTTTACTCCTAATATTGCGTGTCTCCAAGATTCTTGTATTAGCTCAAAGGTAGTCTGTTATAACAGACTTGTGCCATTAACTTGTGATGTGATTTTAAAATGTGTAATTTTGTACTTTAATAAAACTATTAAACAAGAAAAAATTCCTTTTTAAAGCAGGGTTCTCGCAAGGATTCAGCTTCATATAGTTTATACAGCAAATAAAAGCAAAACACAGCCTCCTAGCTATAAACCAACCTCCGGCTACACTGACTAGAATGTGGTCTCTGTTTCCTGAACATGACTGTTCACACATTGCTATAACTAATTCCAGGTTTGGGCCTGGTCAGTGCAAACAGGCACAGAACCCTTGTGTGTCCATGCATTTGTAGCACAACAATCTCCAGAGTAGAACCCAAAATTATAGCGTGCCTGTGTACTATTCGTACCCCTTACCGGGGTGTACTAATCCTGGTAATAACTGAAACGCCAGTTCTCTAATGACACACACATTCTGGAGCCCCTGTGTCGGTGAAAAACCTGTGTGATGCCAAACTTCTAACACTATGATAAGGCTCCTGCACTATCATGGGGTAATAAAAAATATTGTACTATAAGATATATATTTAATGCTCCTCTAACATTTATATACAATGTACCAGTACTCTGGCTAAAATTCTTAGAAATGTTGGAGGGAGCTATGAGCAAGGAATAATAAAGTTGTTACTCATGGAATGTTATTGGAATTTTCTAACCAGCCATGTAATAATAAAACAGAATTTGTCAACTATGAACATTTTCACTTTTTTTTTTTTTTTTTTTTTTTTTAGCTAGTAAAACCTACTTGCAGCACCGCTCTAAGTCTGTCATATAATATAATATTTTATATAAACCATTTTAGTTGAATTTTGATTACTTAAGAGAAGTATGGATATGTAGGGGAACGGGGGGATTCTATGCTCGCCTAAGTGGATGCAGCATTTGTCCCCCGCCGGCTCTGTAGTGAGGACTTGATCGCTCAGTTCTCCTCTCCAGCACTCACTGGAGAGCTTGGCTGTTTTTTACTTTGACATTATTTGTTATGCTGCAGCCTGATACTTTAGTTGTTTGACCACTGGGCTATAGCCGAATGATGGTTATAGCACTGTTGTCCAGTTCTGGGAGGGCGTCATATGAATCTTTATGAATGTACTGTATAAGTTTAAGTAAACTTGGTGCGGGTCAGCTTTTGCCATAATCTACAAATAATGCACCCCTTCCTCCTTTTGTACTGGCCTGTCATTGGATTGTCAGCCACTGTTTATGTGCAACAGTAACATCTGCAGTACCTGGCTTTATTCTCTCTATGCCAAGAATTACTTGGAACTAAGTTGTGCACAGCACGTAAGCCAATACAATGGAACTTTAGTCAGAAAATTCAGTCCTGCTAAATCCCTTAGACTGGCCTCTCTTGCAGGAATAGCTACAGTGAAGGAAATAAGTATTTGATCTCCTGCTGATTTTGAATGTTTGCCCACTCACAAAGAAATGATCAGTCTAAAAATCGAATGGTAGGTGTATTTTTTACACAGACAGAATAGCAACAAAACATTCAGAAGAAATTCATGTCTAACAAATTATGCACTGATTTGTATGTTCATGAGAGAAATAAGTATTTGGTCCCCTATCATTCAGCAGGATTTCTGGCTACAAGGTGTCTTTTATACAAGTAACAAGCTGAGATTAGAAGCAGTCTCTTAAAGGGAATGCTGCTAATCTCATTTTGTTACATGTATAAAAGACACCTGTCCACAGGAGCAATCAAACAATCAGATTCCAAATTCTCCACCATGGAAAAGACCAAAGAGCTGTCCAAGGATGTCAGGGACAAGATTGTAGTCCTACACAAGGCTGGATGCAAAACTGTCGTCAAGCAGCTTGGTGAGGTGACAACAGTTGGTGCAATCATTCACAAATGGAAGAAACACAACTGTCAGTCTCCCTAGGTCTGGTGCACCATGCAAATCTCACTTCGTGAAGTGTCAATGATCATGAAAACAGTGAGGAATTATCCCAGAACTACACGTGAGGATCTTGTCAATTATCTCCAGGCAGCTGGGATCACAGTCACCAAGAAAACAATTGGTAACACCTTACGCCAACAAGGATTGAAATCCTGCAGTGCCTGCAAGTTCCCTCTGCTGAAGAAAGCACATGTCCAGGCCCATCTGAAGTTTGCCACTGAACATCTGAATGATGCAGAGGAGGACTGGTTGAACGTGTTGCGGTCGCATGAGACCAAAATCAAGCTCTTTGGCATCAACTCAACTCTCCATGTTTGGATGAGGAGGAGGAATGCTGCCTATGATCCCAAGAACACATCCCAACTGTCAAACATGGTGGTAGAAACCTTCGGCTTTGGGGCTGTTTTTCTGCTAAGGGGACAGGACAACTGCACCGCATCAAAGGGATGATGGATGGGGCAATGTACCGTCAAATCTTGGGTGAGGGCATTGAAAATGGGTCGTGGCTGGGTGTTCCAGTCCAAAACACAGGCCACAAAAGGAATGGCTCAAGAAGAAGAAGCACATTAAAGTCCTGGAGTTGCCTAGCCAGTCTCCAGACCTTAATCCGATTCAAAATCTGTGGAGGGAGCTGAACGTTTGAGTTGCCAAACATCAGCCACCAAACCTTAATGACTTGGAGAGGATCTGCCAAGAGGAGTGGGCCAAAATCCCTCCTGAGATGTGTGCAAACCTGGTGGCCAACTATAGGAAACGTCTGACCTCAGTACCTGTTGGCAATCACAAAGTCATGTTTTTGTGAATGGGATGAGATTAAATACTTATTTCCCTCATGAACATACAAATCAGTGCATCATTTGTTAGACATGCATTTCTTTTGAATGTTTTGTTGCTATTCTGTCTCTGTGTTACAAAACACCTACCATTCTAATTTTTACTTTGATCATTTCTTTGTGAGTGGGCAAACATTCAAAATCAGCAGGGGATCAAATTCTTATTTCCTTCACTGTATGTAAAACCTTAAAGTGCTTATACTGTTTTAAATCCAGTAATATGGTCTACCTGCTCTGCATATGCTTTGTTGCTCTTTATTTTTCAGCACTGTGCCAAAATCTCTTTAGTTTTTACCTTTTCTATTCTGTTAGCCCAAAATTTTGGATTTGATGGTAAAGTAATAGGAGGGAAATCTTGAAATGGGGACACTACTTGTGGTGACCTGGGGGTCCCCAAGGGATTCCCTTAATTTGCAGAGATTTCCTCACTTCCTGTTTTGACTATGGGCCAGGAAGTGAAGGTAAATCTCCCCAGTGGGACAGAAGGTCAAAAAAAAAAAAAAAATCTGACGGGTTATAACCCTCCCTGCACATATGTTCCAGGAGTATTTTCAAAAAGCTGTGAACCTTCATGCTCTTGGTTTTCAGAGAACCAGTCACTTATAGCGCTGTACCTTTTATCTGTTATCTACATAACAAGATATTATGCATAATAAAGTAGAGTGATCATCAATATTAAAATCATAACCACCTGAATAAATACCTTAATGAATACATAAATAATATAGTGTGTAATACATAAATAATATAGTGTGTAAGGTATATCACCACAAGGTGATAATAAATGGTGATAAATTGTCCCAAAATAAAGAGGTGAGGATCCTTTCAAGATTACAATCAATGTGTATGGGTATCTGATCCAGGGGTGACAGATGAAGTAACTAAATAAGCAAAATGCGCACTCACCAGAAGTGCGCTAAAAACACACATTTGAGATATCCTGTCTCATCAGGTATAATCAGGTCATCTGCTCCCGGGTTCGGCCAGGTTCCAATACACCTTTGGGGTCCTTAGGCAGGTGTCACAGCATCTGGTCACGTCTTTGTAAGATTCTCTGGGGTTCCTTTGCATGTATCACCGCGTTGGGTCATCTCTAAAGTGGGCTCTGCAAATGACGGCGCTCACAAGGAGAGCCCAATGAAGGACACCACATAGCGTGATACTGCATAAAGGGATGACTTTTATTTCCACAGAAAACAGGTGTATAAAAGGTAAAAGCACTGACCATAATGTTTCAGGATGGCCACCAGCGGTGGCGTGACGTCTGGATGCTGTAGCCCCCCAATGCGTTTCATGCAAAGCACTTTGTATATGGCGTTCTATATAAGCCCGCACCCTATGACTAGAACTACTTACAAAATACTGTCAACGTTGTTAAAGCCAATATATATACTAGGAGGACTGCCTATAGGAGGTGCCGAGTTCTTTTCTACTTAGTGTCCTCCTGTAGGTGGCACTCTAAACCCTGTTTGGCCAAGATTAATAAGAGTGGCTGTGTCTGTCCAATGAACTGGGAGAAAGGCATTTTACAGTGAATAAAAAAAAAAAAAAATCCCGTTATTTCCCCCTTTACTGTATGGAAGTTTTTGTAAGCGAGTGTGTTCTCCTGGCTCTGCTCCTGCCTGTGGGACTTGTCCAACCCCACTCAGGAACTCTTTATTCAGGCACCACTTAAGCTATAAACCAAATTGGACAAGGATGAAAGACTGTTTATTACTCCTGGGAAGGTCTAGAATTGTCCAAAACGTTTCATATTTTTCTTTCTGTTGTACAAAGACTGACTGATTTTGTGTGTGGTTTTTTTTTTTTTTTTTTTTTTTTTTTTTTTTTTTTTTTCTCTCCAGACTGCTGTCGAAGTTTTTAAAAGAATAATTTTGGAAGCAGAAAAAATTGATGGTGGATGTTCACAAGGGAAGTCGTCCTGCTCCGTTATGTAATTCCACAAGCTGCGGACACTGGGAATATATTCTACTTGAATAAGCAAACTGCCTGTTCTACTTCAAAACTAGGCTCTTCATGTAACTATTCCTCTCCCAGGAGGTGTGGTAATGCTAGCAGCACCCTGTTTCCTCTGGGATTGGAAGGGTTACACTGATTTTCAGATAGGGATGGTCACAGCCACTTTTTTTTTTTTTCTTATTCATCTGACTTATTTTTCAGCTCTTCAATCACACACTTTCAATTTGTATATCCATATTTCTTAATATTATGGCCAATACTTTTGCAGGCATTAATTTTTCAGTGTAGTTTGTTTATAATATTGTAATCACTCAAATGATACATATTGTTACATTATTCTTTACTTAACCAGGCTTGAACGTCAGTGTTTCTTTCATTGTTCAGTGTAAACTTGTAAATAAAACAGCTGCAGACCTTAACAACCTTTGTGCTTATTAAAGAGGAGTTTCAGTTGTACCAAATATTTTGCCACTTTGTCTATGTGCAACAGATACTTGCAAGTTTTTTTTTTTTTTTTATACTATTGGGGAGGTCTGTTGGCTGCAGCCTTTGAAGCTGACCCACTCCATCTCTTGTAACACTATGTTCTAAAGCTGTATGCTGGTGTGCATATTGAGGTATGATCTAAAGTTTTGTGGTGCAAAGTCTTAACACAGAAAAGAGTGCATTGCATTTTTTGAGTTTTTTTTTTTTTTTTTCGCTACCAATATGTAGTAGGTTTTCATAGCTTACATAAATATGTGAAGTCTAAAGCCAGCAGGGCACATGACCTTTTTGTATTTAAATCCTGAGGCATAGGAAAATATCAATTCAACTCTAATTATAAATCATTTAAATGTGTTTATCTGCAAGCTGTGTAATAACCTGAAATTGACCTGGTATCAGCCTCTTGTAGTTTCTCTTGTAGAAGAGCTTGATTTTGAGGAAGAAAAGCAGTACTAGCAGCCAGTCCTTGTGCTGATGAAAAAAGAAAGCAAAGTGACAGCTCATTGGTGGTCTTCTTCTCCCTTCACTGTCCAATCACAGGAGCCGGTCCAGGATGGCTAAGCGCGCACCCTACATATGTCCTTGCTAAAACAATGCTCTGATCACAACCAGTAAAATTGCAGCAAGTGAAGCTTGCATGTTTCAGCAAACATTTATCATAGCATAGCTTAAAGTGGTTCTAAAGGCTTTATCCTATTGTACAGCGCTGAGCAAACCCTTTGGCGCTATATAAACTCGTAGTAAATAATTAATAATAATAATTCTGTGATAGCGATTTATCCCTTGTGAGACCTCTGCCTAGCCTGTATAAGCAGATATAATCACTGTGGACAATCCTTATCAGATAGCTGAACTCGCCAATACTGTGTTCATCCAGAAGTTGCTTTCTGCTGTATCCTGTTTCACATGTACAGAATAATGAATGGTTTCCAGTATTATGCGGTCAAAAGATGATACTTTCTGTAGCGTACTATGCAGAATACATGTGTCCCTGTTACATGTGGGACTGTTAGCTGCCTCCATGACACAGGAAGTGCTGAACTCAAGAAGAAGGGAGGAGCTTCATATACAAAGGAATTGTGTCATAGATCTCAGGGAGGTAATATAAAACAAATGCATTACCAAATAAGGCCACTGGATGGCAGCATATAACTAACTATAGAAATATCCATAGGAAATGGTACAAAGAATAAACTATATGAATTCTCATGTATATTAACTGTGTAACAGCATACTCCCCGTCTGGCATTGTAAATGTCACTACTATTTAAACCATAACGGTAGTTATACAATTGCAAATAAACAGCGCAATTTGCTTGATGTCTTGAAGACCTGAAAGACATAAAAGAGAACATGCATATAGTGCAACAATTTTAACTTAAGGCTTCAAGTTGTATCAATTAAAGTTCAAGACACTTCCTTCTTGAAGTCACAGGTTGGATCCAGCAGCATACGCAAGCAAGTTCATTCTCCAAAGGGTAAGAGCAGAAAAAGTTCTGTGATAGGTCTGCTGAAAGTCTTTACAGTCCCTTGTCTTGCAACTTTCACCTCCACCTTGCCTACCATGCCGTCATCACTAGGGAATGCTCTTTACAATGAGTCCCATAGGCCACTCGATTCTTTCAGCTTGCTGGTCCTTCAGCAGAACGAGATGTCCATTTTTGCTGTCTGTGTAGAATTTGCTGTCATCCATCTGAGTGTCAAACTCGCGCAGTATGAAATCGGCAATTTTCTACAGCTAGCACAGTTCCACAAAGTTCAAGCCTAGGAATTGTGTGCTCAGGCTTAGGTGCTAACTTAGCTTTCCCAAACAGAAACCCTATGTGGGTTTGATTAGAGTCTATTACCTTGAGGTAGGCAACAGCTGCAATGGCCTCAGTAGATGCATCTGAGAAGATGTGAACCTCTTTTCTCTGACTTGTAGCAAGGGAAGCTGAGGTATAACAGCGTGGTATACTGATTCCATCTAAGACATGTAGAGATTGTCTCCAGGACTCCCACTTTGGAAGCTTGTCTGTAGGCAGCGGAGCATCCCAATCTTTAATAGACTCTGAGAACTGTCTAAGTAAGGCTTTACCTTGTATGGTGATGGGAGCCACAAATCCCAATGGATCGTATAAGCTGTTCACCACTGACAGAACACCACGCTTGGTAAATGGTTTGTCTGCAGACTTGAAAGCCGAAGGTATCTTTTAATAAGTTCCACCGTAGGCCCAGATTTCTCTGTACAGGTGGCATGTCCATCCCAAGATTTATATCTTTAAACCAAGTGGCATGATCGCCAGGTTGAAAGGCTTTCATAACAGTGACACTATTCGAGGCAATCTTGTGTAGTCTGACGTTAGCCTCGGAAAGCATACCTTGTGTCCTTTGGAGCAGGTCTATGGCTTCTTTGTTGTAGGTAAAGACTTAAGTCCATCGTCAACATAAGTCTCTTTCAATGAAGTGTTGAGCATCCGCACCGATACTCCTTTTCGCCAAGGGCAGTCCTTCGTAAACCATATGTTTGCAACAGCGGGTGAGGGACTATTTCCAAAAACAATGTACCTTCATGAGGTATTCAATGATCTCATTGTCCATGTTTGTTACGGTGCCACAGAAACCAAGGTTCCTATGTGTCCCTGGCACGTACACAACCAAGCAATTGATACCTCTGCTCCCTATCTGCAGTTATGGCAAAACTGTCCTCCTGGGCTGTCTGGAGCTGCAGCCAGGGGCGCTTATGGGACAAGGTTTGTAAAAAAGGATTGGGAACTGACACGTACAGATCAACAAATTTCCTTTCTTTCTTGGATAATGCACACCTTGGTGCTTTGGCAATAACTCAGGGAAGGTCCAAGTACTACCTACTGAGTAGTTTGAGAAAAACGAAAAAGTCAGGGAGGCCAGAGAGTCCGGGGCCCAGCAGATGCCAGTTTAAAGGCCTACTAGTGAGTGCATTACATTAATAAAAATGTGCCCCGTTTATTAACATAAATAAAAGTAGAATAATACTAAATGTAATGTGAGCCCTCCCACGGCATGTATCAACAAAAATGGACAGAACAAGTCAAAGATATATCATATTATGAAACACAAAACACAAGCATACGTGGGATTGCCCAATCGCGCTGGGATGCCAAAACGGACCGCAGATGGACTCAGAGCCGGGCCTAGGGGCGTAGGCTTCCCAGCGTAGAATGGGTAGACCCTATCTCCTCTCTGACAGGCAACACGAGCAGATAACTATTAAGCTCCAGCTTACCTTTAATCACCCTTCACAATTAGTGCTGTTGAGCGATTTTAACGTGCATTTCAATACATTGTGAAAACTCAGCTGCAGTTGGATCTTAATGTTATTAAATGAAAATTATCTACGGTTCTGCAAGATTAACTGCTGGCCCTCTCCTAATCCTCTATCTTGCATTCTCTCTTACTTAATGGTTTCCTTCCTCCCCCTCTATTCGTCCCAAATCTTCCTCGGTTTGAGAAGCACAGAGCGGGGGATGAGTTGAGCACAACTGAACCATGTTCTACATGGAGGTGCACAACCATGCTGGCGCATCAATGGACCAGAAAACATTGGATATCCCTAGAGGTGTTCTTTGTAATTGGATAACCCTCCAAAGATGGCAGGTAAACCGACAGTGGGGTTGGGTGTTGGTACTGGTGTGAAGTGTGGCGCTGGTTCGGGGGGCGGGGGGGTTGGGGGGGTGGGTCAAAGATGGGTTGGGTAAAAACTGGGGGGGGGGGGGTGGGGTGGGGGGGGGGGGGGGGGGTGGGGGGTGAAGTGGGTGGGGGGTTTGGGGGGGGGCCTGTTGGGGGGGGGGGGGTGGTGGGAGTGTGGCCCTGGGGGTGGTTGGGGGGGTAATGGGGGGGGCCATTCAGCTGTATCAACTCATCCTGGAAGAATTCTTTCGGTCCATTATTTTGATGAGAACTCTCTATCTTCCACTGACGGAGGCTATTTGTTGTCATCACTTAGTAGTACAAAACACTGTGGAACTTAGGTTGTCACCCAAAGAACAGGAAAGTAACGATCAGGTACTTTGATGATGTCAAGAGGCTTCTCCTTTACTTCAAAGGTAGAGGGCACTGTTGTGAAGTGGGAAATGCACGTCCATTTCCCAAAAAAGAAACATGTAAGTTTACGAAACGAGTTGGATCTCGTAATGTCTGGTCCCAGGCATACATCGCCACCTATTACCCACCTAGGTCAAGTCCATTGTGCATAAAGGGGCATTGTATATGTCCTTGCATCATGCACAAGTGGGGGGTTGGGGGTGTGTTAGAATAAAGAATCAATAATTTAAAAAAGAAATAATCAAAACAAATAATATACGAGGACCCAGTGGGTTTGTGGAATTAGCATGGGGTTAATATGGCATGAATACCGGTTTGCGAGAGAGAACAGAAAAGATTGTAGGGTTTCCTTAAAAAAATTTTTTTTTTGGATGTTAAAAAAATTTCTTGAGAATTTTTTTCTCTTTTTAAATTTTTTTGCCTTGGGGAC